ATTGTGCTTGATTCGGTTGCGTGTTGTCTTACAATCACCTTCTGACATCATAACAATCCTTCTATATTAGACATTCAGGCCTATTGAAGAACTTTTTCATTTGGATCATATCTAAATTTTTCATTGTGGATCTAAACATTAAGTATGTATGCTGTGAAAAGACCTGAGGATAGGACTAAATTATTTATTCATTGATATAATATTGGCTTACGCTATTTTTTAGAGAATGTTTTCTCTTTGATTGGCATAAAATCTCGTTTTTTAGCAATATCTATATATTTTATTGAAGGTGATTGAAGTATTGTCATGTTTATTATGATAGCAATATCAGATTATATTAAAAGCTAAAGCTAAAGACATGATTCCATCATTAATATCTAAAACGGAAGGAAAAACATTGTATGTGATGCAATTCTTATGTCTGATCATGATCTTTATAGAGTCTATTTATTGTTAAATTATATTACTGGATGACTCGTCCTAAGGCTGGGCGCAGGGCTATTTGGGTTGAGGGCGGTGCTCTAGTAGACTCACTTCCAGACCCCAGCCAATAGGAAGCGAAGCTGATCTGCTAGTCAGGGCCCGGCGCTCATTCCGGCGTTCTGCGTGCTGCCCTGGAGACGGGACGAGGGACACCAAACGTGGAGGGGCGTTGGACCCTCACGGCCTGACGCTGTTCCTGCGTGTCCCGCCTTGTGCCGTTGCTTCGTCCACGGGCTTTGCCCAGTGGACTCGTTCGGTGGGGTAGGGTCCGTGGCGCCCGCACTAAAAGGAGCCGTCTGGTGGGTCGGTTGCATTTTCCCACCTAGCGACCAGGTGAATGGCAGTGTTAGGGGCTTGAATCTGGGTTCTGGGCTCCTTCAGACAGCGCGATAGAGACCGCGAGTCTCAGGGGCGCTGCCCACCACTCACCTTTCTTCCTCCTCCCGCCGCCCCTTGGTCCGAACTCAGATCAAGCTCAAAGCCTGCAGTGAATTCGGCCTGTAATGGGCTGCGGTGAGGCGCACCTGTTGAGTGCTTAGCAAAGTGCCTTGCCGTCTTTTCGGTCATGGGGAAAGGGTAACTTGGCCTCTGGTTCGCAAAGTTGAGCGTGCATCCGGAGGGCGAGTTAAAACAGCTTGCTGGGCCCGGATTCCAGAATTTTTAATTCAACAGACCTGGGCTGGGGGGCGAGATTTTGCATTTCTGTCGAGTTCCCAGGTGTTGCTGATGCTGTAGTGCGGGAGTTAAAGCTCTGAAGGTGGTTGATTTGAGGGGAGGGTTCCAGCCTTTACTTGCGTGCCCCTACCACCTGGTCTGTATCAGAGTTTGTTGAATTTCGGGCCTGCTCTCTGGATCTTAAATGCCTCATTTGCTTGTATGTGTGATTTGCTCTGACTTCTGGCTTCTCAGATGATCTCTAGGTGAACTTGTAGATTAAAAGAGATTTAAAAGATGCACCACGCTCTTAGAAAATGTGCAAGACAAAACTGTGTCTGGGATTACACACTTGGGTGATAAAACTATGAAAAAACCCAAGGAAGTACTAACTATGATAGTCAGGACAGTGATTACTCTTGGGGATCAGGAGGAGTTGCGATTACTAAAGGCTCATGGAGAGATTTTGGGGGTGGCTGAAAGGTGCTTCCTGACCTGGGTGGTGACGGCAACGGTGTACCTTTTTTAATAATACATTAAACTATACAGTTATTTTGTGGGGTTTTCTGTATTTGTGTTTTATTTTACAATTTAAGAGGTTACAAACCTAAACATTCACATTGGGAAGTCTAAGGTGAGGTATGCCCTTGGATGGAGGCAAAAAGAATGTTAACATCATGGAATTTCAAACTTGGAAGATCACTTAGATCACCATACTTGCAAGGAATCAGTACTCATTTTACATAAAAACTTCAGCATCTTTATCCTGGTGGATCCTAATGGAGCCAATTTGTGAACATTTAATTACTATCTCTTTTTTGTCCTGGTTTAGTATCTTCTCCATTTTAGCATTGTTGATTTAATCTTATTTTGGTGATATTATGTATTGTGTATTGTTGACCTCTTACCACATGATAACGCCTGTTTTGGCTGCATTTTGGTGGGTCAGGGGTCAGGATTGTTTCTTTTTAATGAATGGGTTTTAGGGAGGGGAGGAATGTAAAAGGAACTTAGTAAAACTGTTTTTTTTTAAAAAGAAATGGATACTGTTTGTGCCTTTTTTTGTTTTTCATTGATTTAAATTCAAAATTCTCCCCTATCTTTTCTTAGAATTTCAAAAAATTTCACTGTCAGTCAACTGTTTTCTTCTGATTAGATCTAGATACCAGGTTTCTAATCCAAGTAACTACATTTAGTTACTTGTCTGTAGGCTTTTATAGTTGAAATTTTCCCATTTTACAGTAAGTTTTAATTTTATTGGAATATGGAATCAGAACTTGTTATTTCTAGATTCTTAGGTTACTGGTTGCCTATAATGGGACAGGGGTCAGCGAACTACTGCCTCCTGACCAAATCTGGCTCTGTTTTTATATGACCCACAACAAAAGATGAATAAGATCTAATGTATGTCATAATAGTTATAGTCAACAATAATATATACTTCGTAGTCACTAAGAGACTAGATCTTAATTATTCTCACCAAAAATAGAAATGATAATGTGATGTAATAGAGGTGTTAACCAATACTCTGTTGGTAATGTTACAATGTATATAGTATATCAAACCAACACATTTATACCTTGAACATATACAATGCTATGTCAATTCTATCAACCAAATATTGAGATATAATTCACATACTATCAAATCCAGCCCCTTTAAAATGTACAATTTAGTAATATTTAGTATATTCACAAAGTTTTGCAACCAACAGCATTATCTAATTCCAGAACATTTTCATCTTTCCTCAAGGAAACTCCAAACCCATTAATTTACTGCTCTTTTTATATTCTCTGTTTCTAAGGAATTTTACTATATATAGGTTCTTACTTAAAAGTAAGCTGTTTTTAAAGAGGATATCTTACTGCTTGGATAATTTCTGGGAAGATTTCTGTAGTCTAGCATGGATAATTCTCCCAAAGAAATACCAATGTAAAAGATATTTTTTAGTTGAATAAATACTTTGATTAGATTGTTGTGAATGTTAAGATACTGAATTTACTATTTCACTTCAATTATAAAGAACATCTAATCTGATAACAGATTAAATCAAACACTTACTCACTCACAAAAATTAAGGGATTTTCTTGGCCAAGAAAAAGAACTCTTTTAATGCTTATAGATGATGAAGTGCTTGGTTAAAAAAACAAACTTGATTTAAAACCAGAGTTAGCAAACTTTTTCTGTGAATGGCCAGATAGTAAATATTTTAGAGTGTGTGAGCAGGCTATGCGGTTTCTTGCAATTACCCAACTCTGCCATTGTAGCATGAAAGTGGCCTTAAACAGTATATAAATGCATTGGGCATGGCTATGTTACAATTAGACTTTATTTATAAAACCAGGCAACAGGCTGAATTTGGCCCAGGAACCAGAAGTTTGCTGGCCTCTGACTTTGAATAATACTAACATACAATTTCTGTGGATGAGATGGAAATACTAATGTCTGTATTTGTTTATAAAGTATTTTTTACATATATTGTTTCATTTGCTTATAATTTGAGGTTTAGTAGGTCATATATTCTTCCATTCTTTATACGGATGTTGACACAATGTGCTTTCCAAAATTGCATTCCTTTCCTGATTTTGTTACCTGTGTTGGGAATAGCTGTCATTTTCATTATTTTTGTTAAGATCTTTAGGAAGTTAACTATTGGTTTGTGAAGTGTTTCTTCACACTGGTATCCAATACTTAGTTGCTTGTAGGTGAACTTCATGAATTTATAGAATTATTAGACTGACTTACATATGAAATATCCTGGGCTAATAAATCATGCATCTACCTTGCCTTTATGTGTGTCATTTTTGTTTACATTTTAGGAGCTAGAGATGCTATTAGGCTGTCATTTTCTCAAGTGTGACTCGGCAGGGAGATGGAAAACTTCATTCTGTATGAGGAGATTGGAAGAGGAAGCAAGACCATCGTCTACAAAGGACGGCGGAAGGGAACAATCAACTTTGTAGCTATACTTTGCACTGATAAGTGCAAAAGGCCTGAAATAACCAACTGGGTAAGTCAAGTATGTTTTCCTCCCTCTGGTAGAAAACAGTGTACTGTGTAAACAGAAGCCATTGAACAAGAAGCCAGTGGCAAGTGCCACATTTTCAAAAGGGATGAGCCACCTTCTGTCTGTTTAGTGCCACCAGTCCTGAATAATGATTCATAAACACACCCAAGCCGTTAACAACTTAGAGTTTGGTTTGTTTTGGTAAGAGCCAGGGAAAATATAATATATATTAGATCATTACTTTTAAATTTAGTATATGATTATGAAGCTTTCCATATGAGGGACTTCGGGTAAGAGTGATTTGGGTTTAAAATAACTGTGCCATTTTATAGCCTAGGCTCCAAACCTAGCTTTTCTTTTTCTTTTCTTCCTTCCTTCCTTCCTTCCTTCCTTCCTTCCTTCCTTCCTTCCTTCCTTCCTTCCTTCTCTCTCTCTTTCCTTCCTTCCTTCCTTCTTCCTTCCTTCCTTCTTCCTTCCTTCCTTCCTTCTTCCTTCCTTCCTTCCTTCCTTCCTTCCTTCCTTCCTTCCTTCCTTCCTTCCTTCCTTCTTCCTCCCTCCCTCCCTTCCTCCCTCCCTCCTTCCTTCCCTTCCTCCCTTCCTTCCTATTGTGGTAAAATACACATAACACAGAATTTACCATCTTAACCATTTTTAAGTGTACACGTTGGTGATATTAAGTGCATGTATATTGCTTTGCAACCATCACCATATCCAGAACTTTTTTTTTAAGAATTAATTTTTTTGGAGGATGTTTTAGATTCACAGCAAATTTAAGGGGAAAGTATACAGATTTCCCATACACCCTCTGGCCCCACACATTAATAGCCGGCCCCACACATTAATAGCCTCCCCCACTATCTACATCCCTACAATAGTTGTACACTGTTAACAATTGATGAAATCTACGTTGAAACATCATACATCCACAGTTTACATTAGGATTCACTTTTGGCGTTGTGCATTCCATGGGTTTGGACACATGTGTAATGACATGTATCTGTCATTATAGTATCATACGGAAGAGTTTCATTGCCCTAAAAATTCTGTATGCTCCAACTATTCATTCCTCCCTCTTCCTCCCAACATCTGGCACCCACTGATCTTTTTATTGTCTCCATAGTGTTGCCTTTTCCAGAATGTCATATAGTTGGAATCATGTAGTATGTAGCCTTTCAGATTGGCTTCTTTCATTTAAACATAGAGGAATCTTAAATGCATATTGCTACTTGTGTTTTGTTGCTCATTTCTTTTTATCACTGAACAGTATTCCTCTGTGTATATATACCAGTTTATTTGTTTACCTATTGAAGGGCATCTTGATTGCTTTCAGTTTCGAATAGGCTGCTGCAAACATCTAAGTTTTCAAGCCCATTGGATAAACACCAAGATCGGGATTGCTGAATTGGCCAGGACTCTTCATCTTGCAAAACTGAAACATTATACACATTAAAAAATAATTCCCCATTTCCTCTTCCCCAGCTCCTTGCAACTGCCGTTACTTTCTGTCTCTGAAATGTTCCTCATATAAATGGATTCATACAATATTTGTTTTTTGGTGACTGACTTATTTCACTTAGCATAATGTTCCCAAAGTTCATCCATATTGCATGATGTGTCAGAATTTCTTTCCATTGTATGATATATCGCATTTTACTTACCTCTTCACCTGTCTGTGGACATTTGGGTTGCTTCTACACGTTATCAGTTATGACTAATGCTGCTACAAACATAGATATACAGATTTTCAAAAAATGAATAAAAGAAAAAAAGCAGCATTTTTCTATAACCTGAAGACAGTTGCTTTTCTGTTCTTTTTTTCCCCAGTCTTTTCTCCTATGAGTTTTAAATCATTGTTTTATTATGATACCATATAATTTTCTTTCTTGCCTTTTTCAAGTAACATTATAACACTGTCATTTTCCATGTTGATTTAAATTAAATAAACATTTTCATGTTGGCTTAATATTTTGTAAGTTGATATACAACTTATTTAACTACTATTGTATTATTGAGCATTTAGGTTGTTTTTACTTACTGAAGGTTAATTATCAAAATAATGTGTATTTATATAGGAAATTGAAAAAGAGAAGTAGAAAGAGTAAAAAAACAGTAATTCTGCTCATTAAAATAGCTTTTTTGATTAATACTTTCAGCAGTTTTCCTATGAATACTATTTCTTTTGCAATATTATATTTACCCAAATACACAAAACTAAATTGCACAAGTTTTCAAAAAATCATTTTTAAGATAATATGCTAAATTAGCACTTTTCCACATGATTAGCCTTTATAACCATCATTTTGATGTCCATAAAGAATTCCACCAATGGAATTCCATTGTTTTTACCCATTTCCCAATTGTGTATTTAGGTGTTTTTTAATAGATGCAAGGGTTTTAAGAATTTTTTATTTTTAGTGTGAATGTTGTGTTTTTATAGGTGCGCCTTACCCATGAAATTAAACACCAGAATATTGTAACTTTTTATGAATGGTATGAAACCAGCAACCATCTCTGGCTCGTAGTGGAACTCTGCACAGGTAAGGCATGCTGTGTAGGTTTTGTTACTTTCCTTTCTTCTTTTGCAGTGTAAATGTTGATACTATTGACTATGTTGGTTTGAAAATCTATAGTTAACTTGAAAGTCTATTTTCCGATGGATATTAGGGAAGGGTAAAGAGCTAAGATGTAGGATAAGAGGAAGGTTTATGTAAAACTCAATTTGGGGTTAACTTAATTTGGTATAAAATATTACTGAACAGTCTACATAAAAATTTAGAAACATTTTTTAGTGGTAATTAATGTATAAAACAACATTTTCCATTTAAACAAAATACTTTAGGTCAGCTAGCTATTAATTAGCTTATTAGTTTATAAAGTGACTTAGTTTTTGAACAGAATACTTGCTCTTTATGAAAGCTTAAGCAATGTGGAAAAATATAAAGACGAATCAACCAATACTACTGCCCAGGAATAATTAGAGATAACATGCAATTGCCTTTGCTTGGTACAACTTTCCAGGACTATATATAGAGAGAAAGGTGACGAAATACATAGATATTATCTGGCTTTTAGTTTCAGCATCTTTAGAGAAAAAAAATATAACTAGTACCAAGGTTAGTATACTTCTGTTTATACATTGAGTAAACTGAAGAATCACGAAATATTAAGATACGTGTTAATTGTTTCTAGTTTTATGATCTTACCTGTTGGCACTTAGAATGTGTAAAACTGAATCATAGAATAATTTTCTATATATTTCATTTCCCTGAGCTGGTAGGCTTCTGTGGTTTCATTGCTTCCCTAGATGTACACGCTGTTGAGGTCTTTCTCTGGATTCCTTTTTGCTTTAGCTGTTGTTTCTGACCCATGACCAGTGTAACAACCCAACTTCATGTCTGAGTCTGCAGTGGTTCCTCACCCACCAAAACAAATAAGCAAAACCAAAACACCTGCTACCTTTGTTGCAGTAGTTCTGATTGAACTTTCAGATGCAGCCGAGATTTCACTTTCTCTGAACCTGGCGCTCGTTTTCATCTTGACCCTTAAAAAAAAAAAAAAAAGTTTGTGTCTGGCACTTATATGGTGGAGATGGGACTGGAACCTTGGGCGGGCACAGAAAAGGAACTCCCCGTGTGTCAGCCTTGGGCCCATTATTCCGTCAGTGGTGAGCACCAAGGGCATGGTTTTCTAACAGTCAAGGAGGGGCGCCAGCTTTTTCGCTGTGCAGTACTTTGCGGAATGACCTGACTGTGCACAGGGGTAAAAGTGACTGTCCTTTGCATAATGTGATTTAAATGCACTGTTTGGGTTAGTGGTTACCGCACACTTTTGCAGCTGTTTGTTTCCTGAGGGATCTGGAGTGAAAACTCCTTCATCCCACCTGCTTCCTCCTTGACCAGTCATCCGGGCTGAGCTGGCCCTGGAGCGGGGACACAGCGCTGCTAGGGCGCTTGTCCGCTGTGCTCGCTAGCGTGTTCCCCCGCTAAGCTGTCCAGGTGTCCTGATTTGATCGTTGTTTGTTTTTTTTTTTATGCTCAGAATCTTCCAGCATAGAACCTCCTAGAGGCACTGTGTAGTGCTGGTTAAAACGGGTGATTTAATCACATTTGCAGGTGGCTCCTTAGAAATGGTTATTGCTCAAGATGAAAACCTCCCAGAAGATGTTGTGAGAGAATTTGGGATGGACCTGGTCACTGGATTACATCATCTTCATCAGCTTGGCATTCTCTTTTGTGACATTTCTCCTGGGAAGGTAAAGTTTTGATTTCCTAACTGCTTCAGTCTTATTTGACAGAGCTTTCTTGAAGGTCTTTTTATTTTTAGATACAACTTTAGATATAGAACATCTTGAGATTTGAAGTTTACATTTTTTTTAAATAGATGGAAACTCTATTTTAGATAGTTATTTAGCGACCCATTGAAGTTCTTCTAGAATGCAGAGTTCCCCCTCATATGAGAGCTTTGAGTAATTATTGTTGCTGCTGAAGTGGGTTGTAAATGATGAGGTCAATAGATCTATAAAAAATGACTCCTCATCCTTTTTTAAAAAAGATCCTAGTTATTTATATCTAGAGAGAGGGACAGGGAGGGAGAAAGAGATGGAGGGAAACGTTAATGTGACAGAGAAACATTGATTGGTTACCTTTCATACACACCCCAGCTGGGCCCGAACCCGCAACCCAGGCATGTGCCGTGACTGGGAAGCAAACTAGTGACCTTGCACTTTGCGGGTCGATGCCCAACCCACTGAGTCTCACCAGTCAGGGCAAGACTCCTCATTCTTATAGTACACAGTTATGAGCCTTTTTTTTTAGTTTGATAATGGCATTTTGGACTCTTTATGTATGATTCCTGATGTGATGGATCAAATATTATCTTTTTTTTTGTTAAACTAATTGTCTGTGACTAAATGTGCTGCAGCATAGTTGTCCCGAACCCTGCTTAGTTCCACGGTCATAGTTGGCAGTGACATTCAGGAGCTGTGTGCCCTGGACGGCTGACCCTTTTCCTCTCTCTCCGTGCCTTCGCCCTTGTCCCTGGGTGATTGTAAGGGTTACCTGTTATATTTAGGAGAAGCTTCTGGGACACTTCATAGAACATAGTGTGCCCTCAATCAGCGGAATCAATTATTATCTTTATAAGTACATACTGTTAGGGATTGTATTTATTACTGGCTTAAGTTGCTCCTTTTCCTTTGTTAATGTGTACACAAGGAAATGAAAAATTGAATGTTTTCCTGTTAAACATTATTATAAGACATCTATATAAGAACATAATGAAACCTAAAAAACTCCATAAAAATGCCTCATAAGAGTATTTGAAACATTCATATACTTGCCCAAGTCTGCAGCCACTTAACTGTGGGTGTAGGTCCGAGAGCAGCCCTAAGCAGTATATAAATGCATAGGTGTGGTTTGTTTCAGTAAAAGTTTATTCATGGACATTGAAATTTGAATTTTACGTAATGTTCACATGTCAAGAAATATCTTACTTCATTTTTTCGACCATTTAGAAATGTCAGAACCACCTCTAGCTCATGCCTGCACAGAATCAGGTACCAGCCGGGGTTGGCCCCGCGGCTGTGGTGTGCCGGGCGCTGTGTGGGAGCTATTTCATGAGGTCTGGTGTCGGCCACTTATAACCTAGGAACTTCAGGCTGGCGTGTAGTGGGGCTTTTATTCTAGGGCTGGGGTTGGCCGAGTGCAGGTCGGATGCCCGGCCCCCTCAGTGAAGCTGACTGGAACGCAGCTGCACCCTTTCGTCTCTTGTGTCATGGGTGACTGCGGAGCTGAGTAGTCGGGTCAAAGGCCTGTCGCGTGCAAAGCCTGAAAGATTTACTAACTTAAGAAAAATTATTGCTGATGCCTCCCACTGGTTCTCAGAGCTCATTCCCCGGACCCGCAGCATTAGTGTTGCCTGGGACTCGTAGGCAGTGCAGGGTCTTGGACCCACCCCAGACCTGTTGACTCAGAAACTCTGGGGGTCGGCGGGGGCGGGGGGCGGGGGGGACGACTCGCGGTTTTTCTCGACAAGTCTTCTGGGGATTCTGGTGCTCAAAAACATTTAAAAGTCACTGGGGACTTTTAACAGACATCCTTAATGTTTGTGATTGGAGGTTAAAGGCAAACTTTATATTGCTTTTAAAAACAAAAGGCCAGCTGGCTCAGTGTAACTTCCCGTAAGTATTTTTAATGACCCCGGAGAAAAAAAATTAAAAGTAATAGGACGCTTTCCTGGCATGGTTTCAACAACCAACAGGTAACTTCTAATTGCAAATTAGCAGATCTGACTACTTAGCACATGCCAGTCGCTATTCAAAACCCTTTGCATGTATAACCTTAGTTAATCCTAACAACAGTCTGAAGAGTTAAGTATAATTTTTTTCATTTTATACATGAAGAGGCTGAGCTTTAAAAAAGTTAAGTAAATTCTCCAGGTCAGATTGCCTGTAAGCGGTGGGCCTGCGGCTCAAATTTAGATCTATAAATTCAAAACCTTAGTTTTAACCATATGTTGCATAAACAACACCTCTGGCAGATGGATTTTTAAGTCTTTCTTTAGCTGTCAATGAGGGTTAGAGAGTATGGATTGTTCCATATACATTGTTTGTAAAAGCCTGAGGTTTCCTTCTGTGGTTATATGTGTTTATTATATACATTGACAGTTTAATATTTAACTCTATTCTTACTAAAATATTGGGTTTATTTTTATTTAGCGTTTTTTTTTTCCTTTTCAGTACGCATTTAATTTTATGAGTTGTGATGAAGGGAGAAAGCCAATGTTCAAATGCTTTAGTGAGGTTATAAGAGGTACTGATATAAGTGAAAATCAAATTGGGTTTTGAAAGTGTTTGTTTTTTTAATCTGTATAGATACTCTTGGAAGGGCCTGGCACATTGAAATTTAGCAATTTTTGCCTGGCTAAGGTAGAAGGTGAAAATTTGGAAGAGTTCTTTGCTTTGATGGCAGCTGAAGAAGGTGGAGGTGATAGTGGCGAAAATGCACTGAAGAAAAACGTGAAAAGTAGAGTGAAAGGTATGTGGAACGTTTCAAGATCATAACTCGAGTTGTGTTTAGTTTGCTAGTCAAATGGTGTATGGATAATAATGACCAGGAGAAGTCTGGGTTTAGGGTGGCGTTGGTGATGGCCTCAGGTTTCCCACGTGGCTCTAATACCATGTAGAGTGTGGGGAACCCCTGACAGTCTGTTTATTGTCCTCAGTGTCACCTGTCCCTGACCGCACAGTAGAACTCAAGGAGCTGGCGCTTTGTCTCGCTGTTTGCGGTATCATCAGCACTTAGAACAATACCTGGCACACATGAGTGGCTCAGTAGTTATTTGCTCAACGTTTTTGAGCAGTTGATATTTGCAGTTAAGGAAAGTTTTTAGGGGTGCACCCTTGGGAGGTCGTTTTGACAGTGAGCTGGGGCCTGGGGTGTTAGCTGTACCTTAGGGGAGAGTGTGAAGTGTGGTTTCTTACACCAGAACTTTTGAGAGGAGCAGGAAGGAGCTTTCCCCTTCAAGTCCCCTGTGCAGGTACTTGAGACTTTGGGCCACTGATGCTCTAGCGTGTTCACTGTGAAGGGGAGGGCGCTGTGGGAGAGGGTGGCATCCTTAGGCTTGATGGTCACGCGGCCTAGGGTGGGAGGGATGAGGGAAGGGGATGAGGAGTAGCAGTTAACTGTGGGCCCCATAAATATAACCAATGGAAATTTAACTTCCAGGGCCAGTCTTGAATGTGATAAAACTTCATGCCCAATATGAAAGCTTTTAAGATCCCCAAATATCATTCCCTAGGCTGACTGGCATTCTGTGAAAAGGAATATTGTGGACTATGTTAGTAGAATATTAAGTTTTAGATTACTATTTCTTATTTTATTATAGAAGATAAGGAAGGTGATATATTTCAGGAAGGTGACATATTCCCCTTTAGTAAGGGGAAGAGGACTGTGTTGTGGAGGAACAGGTCAGATTTTCCAGCAGTGATGCGTGGTTGTGTCTGAGCCGAATCTAAGGATAGTCCCGTGATGGACCCTTTGGCCAAGGATGGAGGACACTCTTGTAACCATCAGTCCTGATCATTCATATCACCAAAGTTTAGGCCGCTGACCTTTGCATCCCTGTGGTATAAAAATAAAACCACTCCGGTTTCTCTAGAGCCTTTGAGGACTTACAGTCTAAGTGTGGCGATGAACGAGGCACTTGAAATAAACACCTTGCCTTTGGCGTCTGTGAGTGGCTGGTGTTGTGGTGGGGTTGCTGATTGGCCTCTCCCCCACCTCTACCTTAGCTGGATTTTTGAAATCTCTTTATATTTTTCTATAGCCTTGTACAATGGAACCTTAAAATTAGAAAACATTAAAAAAAAGTGAAATACACCTGAGGTTGTATTAATGTGCATATTTTCCTCCCATATATATATAATTTTTTTTTACCCCATCAGGTCTCTCTTAGGTAGGTTTGAGTTGAGAACAGTACAGATGCCTAACAGACTTGTTTATTATGCTTTCTTTTTAGGATCTCTTGTATATACAGCACCAGAAATTATAAAGGGCAGTGACTTCTCCACCCCCAGTGACCTCTGGTCTTTGGGCTGTCTGCTTTATGAAATGTTTGCAGGTGACTGCTTCCTGGTTCATTTTAAAGTCAGAGCTGGACAAACACAAAGATTAAATCTGTAGTTTGCAAATATTTTACCTATAAGATGTGAAAAAGCTGGTTCTTCTAAATCTGTATCTATTTTGGCTGGATTGTTTGGTGTCTAGGCATATGCAGATTCCTAGGGACTTTTTTGACATATGGCTATTTTTTATGATAATCATCTGAAGTGTTAAAATTTTCCCACTAAAAAGCTGCGATTATTAGTAGAAATTCCTGTAAACATACCTATGACTGAATGTTTCATGTGTGTCCAGTAGCCCATGCAACCCCTGGATCATGGTAGTGGTCCATGTGTGAACTCGTATATTGTACATGAGGGACAAATTTTGAATTTTAGAAATATAAAAATACACAGTGTGCCTGGTGTATACTAGGCATTCAATAATTAGTTAATTCTGTATACATATTTGTCAGTCGTGTAATCCTGAACTATCTGCAGTTGGGATCTACTAAGAATTATTGGTGATGGCAAACTTGTTTAATTGACAAGCTTTCATGTAATTTCAGGAAAACCTCCATTTTTCTCAGAAAGGGTTTCAGAATTAATTGAAAAGATTTTTTATGAAGATCCTTTGCCACCTATTCCAAAAGGTAGGATTTTTATTATAAATGCAGATAATTTACACTTTCTATTGACTAAAGGTGCACTTTAATTGGCTATTTTTATTGATTTATAACCTCCCAAATTTATATTTTATAAATAGTCCCAATTGATATTTTTAGAAATATTAGCTTTCCCTTTGCCAGCTTTTTTTTTTTTTTTTTTTAAAGATACTGAAATGGAAAACAAAGTACAATAGCTTCCTTCATTTGAGGACACAAATTATTTTGTGCTCCTATATCAAATGATGTGTGGTTTCAAGATTTAGAAAACTCAAACTTTTATTTATTTTTTTGTGTATTTAACATTTACTTAATTTGGACTCATGTGCTTTGTAGTTACTTCTAGTTGGTGTTTGAATGCTAACAGATCAGGCATTCTCAGCCCTAACCTTGATGAATCAGAAGGCTACCCTGGCAAGTTTTAAAGCCTTTTAAAGGAGATATAATTGTATTTTAAGTGTTGAAATTTTAATTATACAAATTGTGATTAATAGAACCATCTACCATTAATAATTTTAAGCAAAAAAAGTAAACACAAAAGGAGGCACAAACATAATAAAGCAGTTTGCTGTACACTGCAAAAAAAAAAATGAATCTTAAGACACATAAACAAAAACAGGATTTTACAAAAGATAGTGTTGTCAATTTTTAAAAGAAAGAAGTTTTCAGAATTAATTAATGGAAGAAATAGGAATATGGAATATTTTTCAGTATTTCAAGAATCACCCTTGGTGAAAAAAACAAGACTCGATATTTTGAAAGCGGTCAATATTTCTTACAACAAAATGCTGCATTTCTTTTTTCTTATTAACTTTATCTTAGTTTTTGTAGAAATCAGTCATTCCTATTATATTGATGACTTTTTAATACACTATTGATTATTGTTTTCGTCTATAAGTTAATGATTTTTTTACGTAAGAAAGCAGTCTGAAAATGAAGGTGCCGAAGGCCTGGTCAGGACATCGCTGGTGGCCAGGCTCGCTGATGTCCAGCCCTGCATCAGGCTGTGGCCAGCATGCCTGGTGGTGCCATGCGTTTGACTGCTTTGTCTCAGGCGCGTGTGGTGATGTCTTTGGCCATTGTCTTCACGGCCACTTCTTTTAAGCATTACTGATAATTGGGCCATGGTATGTATATTTGTTTAATTTAAAAAGGCAAAACTTGGAGAGTAAGAAAATTGGACAATATAATAATTGTGATGCTTAGTAATTTTTTCTGCTAAAAATAAAGAGGGATTGCAAGTATTCTAATCATACTAATCATTAATCACAACATGAGGCATAATTAATAGCTGAAGACAAGGGTATGAGTTTGTCAGACTGGTAATCCTTACTGGGATTATTCAATAAAGTAATTTTAGAGGTTAGTCAAAACTTAGTTTTTGAGATGCATGTTTTTTGTAGTCTAGGACAGAATGCTTTTTTTTTTTTTTTAATTTATTTGAGAGAGAAAGGTTTGGGGGAGAGAGAGAAATATAGAGAGAGACATCAATGTGAGAGAGAAACATTGATTGGTTGCCTTCTGTACTCGCCCTGACTGGGGATCAAACCCACAGCTAGGTATGTGCTCTGACCTGAGATTGAACTTGCAACCTTTTGGTTTCCAGGACAATACTCCAACCAACTGATCCACCCAACCAGAGCTAGGAAAAAATGTCCTTTTGAAAAAAATAAAAAAAAAAAGTTTTGTGCCCTTCTCCCCGTATTTAAGTGGAAGCTTAATTGTTATTAATAGATTCAGTGTTCTCTTTAAAATAATTCATGTGCTTAAAATACTGTGACTTTAAATGTTGATGTAGGGTGTGTATTCATCTTCTTATCTCTTTTTCCCACCCTTTTTGGGAATTAATTTGTATACAGATTCTTCTCATCCTAAAGCCTCTTCAGATTTTATTAATTTGCTTGATGGTTTACTTCAAAAAGATCCTCAGAAAAGGTATGTATGGATGATATTTTAATATGAATCTAATATGAAGTGGAATCTTTCTTTTTTCTTTTATGCAATTCTGAAACAGTACTGTTCATATATAAAGAGGTGTTCAAATTACTTTTTTTAAAAAGAAAATTGGAGTTTACTTTGGGTGTTTTCTCTTTGCAAGTGTTTTTAATCATGAAGAATTTTAAGTTATTTTCTCTTTTACTGTATTAAATAGTTGCCTAGTAGCTTGATGGGTTTTCTTGTAACTCCTGAATCCAAGCACTGTAGTCCTTTTCATTGTAGGTTTTAGGCAAACCTGCCTTAGACTGTTGGACTAGGGACGATACTGTGAAGATAGCTAATGTAATAACACTGAGTGGCACTTTAATGTGATGTATTTTATGACACGCCTGTCAGGATAGTAGGTGCAGCGTGAATCTTTTACGTTGCGGCATGGGTGGGGGTCAAGAGGGACTGGTTTCTAGTTCTGGTCCTGCCACTCGGTAGCTGGGGGCAGGGGGAGGGAGTGTTAAACGAGTATTTGGGACTCTGCTTCAGGGTGGAAAATGGTGAGTATATTTGTATAGTGTATAAAATAATCCATTCTCTATCTTCATTAAATATAGGAGAGGACTTGCAGAAGGAAATGGTGGTCCTTGTATACATTGTAGGACTATGGATGAACTACCTTATAATAGAACGCTTTTAGGATTAGTGTTATTTTGGTGGATAATCTTCCAGCCATCTTTTGATAGAATACTTTATTTAGGATGATATATCTACATTTCCACATATTTAAATCTCTATATGCTTAAGAGAAAAAAGCATTATATGCTTTTTTTTTTTTTTTTGCATAAATGGGACCACTTCATAACCTACTTTTGTCTCTCTGTATATCTGCTTAGTCATTTTGAATGGCTGCAGCGTGTACACGCGATAACCTATAATAACAATAAACATTTAGAGTGTGTCTTTAGAATATCGTGCACACTGCTACAGTAAATATGCTTTCGAATATTCTTGGTTATTGTTCATTGGGGCAGTTTTCTCTTTTGGATAAATTTCTTAAAGTGGGTTGCTGGCCAAAGGCTGTGAATATTACAAAGTGTGATGCATTTGCGGCATTCTGGGAACGTGCTGGAACATTTGCTGCATTCTAGGAACGGCTTACATGCCAAGCAGCTCTAGAAGGCTCTTTCCCTGCCACTGATACCTGCTGTGGGCTTCGTTGGTCTAATGTATTTTTGCCAATCTAATGAATGAAGAAGAAATCCCATTTTATTAGCAATTTTATTTCTCCATCAGTGAATTTTAAGAGCCCTTATATAGAAGGAATATTATATATGGTTGCAAATTCCTTCTCTTTATCATTTGTGTTTTAATTTTGATCCATACAGAAATTTTGAATAAGTTGTCAAATATAAATTATTTTCATTTTTTTGCTTTTCAATTTTAGTCAGGCTTGACCTTCCTGAGTCTGATGAGTATACCTACAGGTATAATAATCTATTAGTAGTAACACTTTATGCTTTGAAAGTGAGTCTGGGTTTTAGATATAGCTGAAAGTCATTTTAATATGGGTGAACTAGGTTTGTAATATTTTGACACCTAAACAGAGCTGTGACTGTATATAGTCATGAAGTTGATATTTTTGTTTATTTCTGAATGAAGTTCTAAGAGTACAGTTACAAAAATGAAATGTGTAAAACAGGTAAGGTATCCTAGAATAATCTAGCCTGTCTTGGAACATGAAAGGTAACAGAATTTTACGTTGAGAATATGTGATCTATTTACTTTAAAATTTTAAATTGCTTATAGATTTCCTCATTGACTATTTTGAGAACCCAAAATGGTTTTTTTGTTTTGTTTTGTTTTTTGTAAGTCAGACTCCATGGAACATGAAACCTGAAAACTCTAATACTTAGTTGTCAGACTCAGTACCATTTAAGGCTTCTGAATTATTTGTTGTTGTTTAAGAGAGGTTAATTACATACTAAAATGAAAGAGTAAAATATGAAACAGTCTCAAAGGTTCATTTTTATGAACATAGTTAAAATGATGAAACTTGATTTGTATAATTGGGGCATATTCTGGGAATTCTGCATGGTGAATCATGTTAACATTAAATTTTAACATTTATGTTTTATAAAGATTAACTTGGGCAGGTATACTGCGACATGCATTTTGGAAGGATGCTTTTACTAGAAAAGATCAGGACTCAGGTGCCGAGGATTCCAGCATCAGGTAGGATAAGCTTATCTTTGTGTGTGGAGCGTGGTTATTAAACACTCACACTCATTACTCTTCTATTAATGCAGCGTCAATGACAAGAATTTCTGTGCTTTCATAATAGAAAAATCAAGCATTTGTTTAAGGGTTGTTGGTAAAGAATTTAGTCATGACACTTTTATTTTAAAGATTTTACTGATTTATTTTTAGAGAGCGAGGAAGGCAGGGAGAGGAAAGGGAGAGAAATACTGATGTGAGAGAGAAACCTCAATTGATGGCCTCTGTGTGTGCCCTGACCCTGACTTAAGGACCGAACCCGTAACCCAGGCACGTGCCCTCACTGGGAATCAAAGGGGCAACCTTTTGTGTCCTCCACTGGCATTTTAAGGGTTGTATGTCATCGCAGCATAACCTAGCTCATCCTGACTACTATACTTTATTTCTATTATAAAAATCTTCTTAGCCCAGGCCACTTAAAAAGTGATGGTGTTTGGAAAAGAACAGGTGAGAAGTAGTTGAATATAGAGGTAAAGTCCTGCTAATTGATTTTTATCCCCCTCAACTCAAATAGTTGTCTGATTCTTAATTTTAATGTTGGCAAATTCAGTGTATTGGATGGAGAAGTTTGAATTCTATTTAAAGTCTTTCCCAAACTTGAGCTCCTCTGAGCCAGTGAGTTTCAGCTATGCTCTCACCGTGGTATTAGGTCCTACAGAAAACTGTGCTGTGGTTCCCAGTGTCAGCAAATCTCAGAGCCCCTCTGACCTCAGGCTGTCATCTTCCTTTTAATTTCTATTTCTTTTTCCTGCATTATTGCCCTGGATAGGAATTTTTTTTCAGTAAGATACTAAATCACGAGTGATGAAATGAACGTCCTTGCCTGGTTTCTTTGTAGTATGAAAGTGCTTTTTCCCATTAAGAATGCTTTTGTAGTTGCCCTTTTTCAGTTTGAATGACAGTTGAAATTGATCAGATGTCTTTATGTGTTAGCTGATATGATCAAGTGGTATCTTTTATGTAGCCTCGCATTATGGACTCTTTCATAAATTGGCTTTCAGCTATTGAACCAGCCTTGCATTCCCACAATAAACCCTACTTAGTCATTGTGTGTTACAGTTTTTATGTTCTTGCTGGGTGTGTTTGTGGCCACATGGCTGGAGGACTGTGAGAGAGGTAAATAAAGGGAGCAGAACAACAGGCGTTTGCCTCATGTTCTTGGGACCACAGCTTTTTTGGTGAGAGAAGAGGATGCCGCTCCCTCAGAGTGTTAGGCACTGGCCAGAAGCTGCCACAGTTCCCAGCCAGTGGTGACAGGCGTACCTGGAGGCTGGGGCAGGACCACGTGGAAAGAGAGAAACAAAACCTAGGGGACTTCCCTTGCTCTGACCCAAGGGGGCCCCCTTCCTGTTCCTTGGAACGGAGGGGGCTTCTCTCTGGGCTTCTCTGTCTGCACTCACTGCCTTTGAGCCCGGGCTGGGCAGCACTGGAAGGGGAGAACTAACGGGAAACTCACTGCTGGTTGACTGGTACTACAGGTTCTGGTTTACTTCTCCAGTCTGCCTGCTGCTATTTATTTTTCATGGATAAAGCTGTGTAGACTTCTTTGTACAATGCCTTGCTTATGTAGTGTGCTCATTTTCACTCCTCAGTGAGGAATATTACTTTTCTAACTCCTTCGCTTTGCCAAATGTCATGTGTAATTGAATTACCTTTTCCAACCTCTTGTTCTACACACAGAACTATATAGAAAGCTGAAAAGTAAGTTTGATTGTGTTGATTTTCTCCTGTTGAACAGCAGAAACGTGATGGAGTGTTCTGGGTCACAAGATTCCAAGGAGCTTTTGAAGAGCCCTCAGAGCGGACAAGCCAAGGGGGAGAGGAGTGGTCAGCGACTGTGCCACTCTCTGAGACTAGGTGGGCTTCGCTGCAGCGTGTTCATGCTGCTTAGAACGCTGGGTCTGAGGGTGCCGTCCGCACTTGTGTTGTCTTCCTCTCTGTCTGCATTGTGCCCTGCTCATGATCTTTGTTCGTTAATGGATAACGTTCTCCTTTCCTGACACAGAAAATCCAGCGGAGTTGCGGCCTAAGAATACTCTTGGGGGCCAGCAGAATGAGTCCATGTTTCTTCTCAGGTTCGTAAAAGGACAGAGCGGGGGGGAAGTGCATAGACAGGAGATGAAAGTAAATCTTCTTACAGCATCCATTGACCTGGTTTTTAAAATTCACGTTTTTAAAAACACTCTGCACATTCTCCGTCATGGCTTGTGCATTAAGTAAGTATTTGTTTAATGAATGAATAAACAGATAAGTAAGTGAAAGAGAGGTGAGGATCCTGACATTTGGGAATTTGAAGGAATTCACTAAAGAAGACCTTGGTGAGCTGAGTGAATTTCTTAAAATGCAAGAAACTCAAAATCAGACACCCAGGCGTAATGGAATGGCCCATTGAGAGCATGGCAGTCATTGATGAGTATAGGAGGGATCATTAAAAATAGATGTAGATTTTATAAAACTTGCCACTTAGTTGAAACCAAGATAACATTCAAATAGTAAACATTTTCTGAAATGTAAATAGTATTCTTTTGTAGAATATATGTTTTATTATGTTCATTCTGTTTACATCAGCAGACATTTAAAAAATAATAAAATCAATGTTTTAAGGTTTTTAGTAAAAGCAGAAAACACTGAATAGAGCATAGACACTGTAAACAAAAGAAACAAATTAGCCAGGAAACTACTTTAAAAACCCTTATAAAAATAGTAGTGCCATGTAAACACAAAGTTTAATTGTTTTTTATATAATGAGATCACATAGAATGATCATAGCCTCCCATTTTTCACCAGATGTGCTTTTATTTTTCCCAGCCTCTAGTAAACAGGATAAAGTTTAAATCCGAATAATGTTCGCTCTTCTGTGCGTTTCAGCTCTCGTCCTACCCCGAGGACCAGCACTGCAGTGGGGCCAAGTCCTGGTGAGGCCGTGACTCAGAGTTCACCGCAGAAGGCGTCTCCTCTGACCAAGGTGAACAGAGATGTATTTTTTTTTTTTAACATAAGTATAGGGATTCAGAAGAATAACGGCAAATGGATTGTGCGATTACAAAATTTATAATTATGTCATTTCCTAGATTATCATTGGTTTTTCTAGTAAGTACACTTAACAGAGAGGTGCTTTGCAGTTGCTTTCTTTTGATAACAGCTTTATTGAGACATAATTGACATACCATGTAATTCACCCATTTAAAGTATACAATTCAGAGGCTCTTAGCGAATCCCCAGAGTGAAGCAACCACCAAAGTGTCAATTTCAGAACACGCTCGTCATCCCACGGGGGAACCCCGTGCCCATTAGCAGCCACTCTCCTGGTTCCCTCCTTCAGTTTCCCCCCTTGCCCTCTGATCTGCTTTCTGTCTTTATAGATTTGCCGATTTTGAATATTTTATACAAATGGAATAATACAATGCGATCTTTTGTGACAGGCTTTTTCACTTAACATGTTTTTAAGATCGATCTAAATTGTAGCATGTATCAGTACTTTATTCCTTATTATTTTTTATTGTCAAATAATCTTCTGTTGCATATACCACACTTTATTTTTCCATTCATTGGTAGATGGATATTGGGTTGTTTCCACCTTTTTGGCCATTATGAACAACGCTGCTGGGCACCTGTGCGCGCGCATCTTTGTGTGGGTGTGCACTTTAATTTCTCTTTGTATCTGCACAAGTAGAATCGCCGCATCATATGGCCCCTCAGTGTCTGACCTTCTGAAGGACTGCCAAGCCATTTTCCAAAGCAGCTGTCCCATTTTACATTGTCACCAGCAGTCCACAAGGGCCCCAGTTGTTACGCACTCTTACTAAAACTTGTTACGGTCTGCCTCTAACAAAAATTATGGTAACATGTACATTACATAAAATTTACCATTTTAACCATTTCTAAACGTATAGAAATGGCATGCACACTGTACAGTTAAGCGCATTCATGTTGTTGTGCCATCGTCACTGCTCTCCTTCCCTAGAACCTTTTCGTCATCCCAAATTGAAACTCCGTGCCCACTAGGAAATTACTTCCCAGTCTCCCTTCTCCCCAGCACTGCTAACCACTTCCACTTTCTGCTTCTATGAATTTTCCTAGTAACCTCATATAAGTGGAATCATACAACCTCATATAAGTGGTATGTCTGGCTTATTTCATGCCACATAACATCTTCAGGGTCCATCCAGGTTGTTGTATGTATCAGAATTTCATTCCTTTTTAAGGCTGAATAATACTCCACTGTGTATATCTACCAGTTTATTCATTCATCCTTGGATGGACTTGGGTTGTTTCAACCTTTTGGCTATTGTGATAGTTCTTCATTATTTCTTTTTGATCATAGCCACCCTAGAGGTTGTGAAATTGTCATTGTAGTATTGATTTTCACGTCTCTGGTGGCTAATGATGTTGAGCATCTTTTTATGTGCTTATTGGCCCTTTATCTCCATTGGGAAAACATCTGTTCATACTCTTTGCCCATTTCCTGAGTTGCAGGAATTCTTTATATATTCTAGATGTATGATTTGGAAACATTCTCTCCCATTCCGTAAGTTGTCTTTTTACCTTTTTGATATTGTTCTTTGAAGCACAACAGTTCTTAATTTTGATGTAGTTCAAATTACTTTTTTTGCATTGTGTGTGTGTTGTTGTTGTTGCTTGTGCTTTTGGTATTATAGCTAAGAAATCGTTGTTTAGTCCAAGGTCATGAAGATTTACATTTGGGTCTTTAATCCATTTTCAGTTAATTTTTGTATATGGGATTGAGTGGGGTCCAGCTTCATTGTTTTTCATGTGAACATCCAGTTGTCTCAGCACCATTTGTTGAAAAAGCTGTTTTTTCCCCACTTAATTGTCTTGGCATTTTTGTCAAATGTCAGTTGACTGTAAATGTGAAGGTGCATTTCTGGACTCAGTTCTAGGCTGTTGCTCTCTATGTCCTCTCATGCTAGTAGTGCACTGTGCACATCACTGCAGCTTTCCAATAAGTTTTGAAATGAGGAAGTATGATCCTTCCAACTTTGTTCTTTTTTTAAGTTTGTTTTGGTTCTTCTAGGCATCTTGCATTCCATACAGATTTTAGGATCAGTTTGTCCATTTTTGCAAAGCAGCCAGAGATTTTGATAGCAATTGCATTGAATCTGTAGGTCAGTTTGGGTAGTATATAGTTTTTTTTCCATGAACATTGGATGAGGTGAAAGTTATTTCTTCATTGAAATGGCATATAGGTGGGTTATAATAAAATCCCTCTCTGCTAATAATGGTTTGGTTATATGTGAGGTACAAAATCAGTATAAAAATAAGAAGTGCGTTCTGAAATGTGATAGATGTTGACCTTCTTCTGGCAGATAGTTCTTGTAGAGGACTATAATCATTTTATTGAGAAATTTAAGCAGTAGTTATATAAGTACTATAGGAAGTTTGTTTTATAATTCTTCAATGATTTTTTTATTCAGTTACAAAAATTTATATAATAATTGTAGAAAACACATAAAATTACATAAAAATGTAGAAGAGGACAAAGAAATTAAAAAGCTGCTTATAATTTTATTACCCAGAGTAATCATTAATTGCGTTTTGATATTCCTACTTTTGGTTCTGTACGTATGTTCATTTTCAAACAAGGGAACGTAATTTTATAACTTAATTTTTTTCATTTTGTAAATGAGATCTCATTGTAATTTTTGATCATTTAATGACTTCCTGAACATGTTGTTTATTTTTTGCTATTGTGAATGAAATACATTTTATAACTTCTTATTTATGCATACATTCAGCTTATCTATAGGAAATTAATTTTACGTATATATTTTTTAATTGGTCTACCTGAATAATTTTTTTTTTATTGTTCATACTATTATCAATGTTCACTAATTCTTATGTCATTTTTTAGTTAATTCTTTTGGATTTTTTTCAAGTTTTTTTGTATTGAAAGTCCATGTTCTTAGATGTTAAAATTTTTTTTTACAGTTTCTCTTATTTTTCATTTTTTTTTTTTAACACAGTATGTTGTCTTCTAAGTTGCAAAGGAGTGGTTGGTTTCCAGCAGCTTATTAACCAGTCAATCTGGTTCTTTTAAAAATTTTTTTATTATTATTTTTTATTGTTTATTCTATTATAGTTGTCCCAATTTTTTTCCCCTTTTCCCCCCTCCACTCAGCCTATCCCTCCCTCAGTCAACCCCCACTGCGCTGTCCGTGTCCGTGGGTCATTCATACGTGTTCTTTGACTAGTCCCTTCCCCTTCCTTCCGCTATTGTCTACGGCCCTTCCTCGGTTTTGGGTAATTTCTTTTCCTCATTTCCCACTTCACTGGTTTGGGTTCCTGTTTATTCAGTGTGCTGGTCAGTGTTTCAGTGGAAATTCTTAATGCGTAAGTCCTCTTTTTTGTCTGATGCGAAATGCTAAGGCATAGCACTAGGAATAAAAGTTCTGTTTAAGTAGAGAACAAAGAAACATCTCAAAGGAATAACTGATGGCAAACCTCCAGTTATTCACTTTAGTTATATATCAACTCTACCTAGTCTTTCCAGAGATAACAGTGTTTAACACTTAGTTAACAGGTCAGTACTTTAGACTGATGTGTTTTTATTCTGTAATTTTAACTTTATATTGAATATTCCATAAGTTGGAATTAAATTGATTAGGGTTTGGTGGATGAAAGATTAAAAATCATGCTGGTAAATTGCAAAACTAATTTGCCTCACCATGGATTAGAACATCACACTACAGATCTGTTTTCTAGTCTTAACCTCATCTGGTAAACATGAGCAATTCAGTTACTTTCTCGGATCTGTTTTGTTTCTCATCTGTAAAAGTGGGACTAATGATACATGCGGTTTAGGATTTTTATGCAAATTGAATGAAACTACCTGTGAAAGTGTTTTGAATATCAACCGAGGTCCGCTGGTGATTTGGCCTTTTTCTGTGTGGTCTTTATTCAGCATCCTGTTCATTCTCTTAAAGCTCATTGTCAGTCCCAGAGACAAAACCTAATTTTTGTTCTTGTTGCAGACCACCGTTGGACGCCTGAGTCAGCAGGACATGGAATCCCAGATGAGAGGGCTTATCTACACAGACTCCGATCTTGTCGTCACCCCGATTATCGACAATCCGAAGGTGCGAAAAGATGCCCAGCCCACTGAGGGCTGAGTTGTAGATTTCACTGAGGATGGAAACCTGGGTGATAGTTTCATTTCCGCTCCTCTTGTCCACTTTGCTTTCCTTCATGCCACATGCCTACATGTCTACCTCCCACCCTGCCTGTAACCCTCTCCTCTTCCTGCCTTGCCTAGTTTTCTGCCTGCTCTGTACCGGCTTTGCCTCCCATCAGTCCTGTGGGCCGAGGAGTGGCTACTGACTCTTAGACCTCAGACCTTAGAGCTCGGTGCCTTCGTTTATCAGTGCATATTTAACGTGGATTGCTCCAAAGAGTCTAGTGGACGATGTGTTGCCAAGGCAGATGTCAGTGAGCACTACACGTCAGGCTTGCTTGGGCGGCAGATCACACAGAGACTAACTAAGCCTTGGTTGTCAGGACTCAGGGTGGACCGTGGCATTTTCTATCCGCTGGGAGCTTGGGGACTCATAGTTCACAGTGCACTTCTACTCCAGTGCGACCTTTGTCACGTCCTGTCTTATGGAACGTGCTGCTGTATTACGAGGGGAGGAGTGCTCCCCTGAAAAAATTTCTCAGTCTCTTTGTTTTCTATTGACTTTCTGTTTCCAACGCACACCATTTATTCTGTATTTTAACTTGTTAAAATGTCTCTTTTCCTCTTTTAATTTATGATGGTTTCTTCTCATCTCATTGGGAAACATTGTAGTTTATAATGGGTTCTTGGATGCATGTTTACTTACTAGAAAGACAATATTTAATATAGATTACCCAGCTATTTTTCATAATGGAGCTACTTATTTTTATGAGTTTTGATATCTGGCAGAGTAACTGTATATTATGCCAAATTTAATGTGTAATGGGGCATTTTCCCAGTGGGCCTTCTAGGACAATTTGTGATTTTTTTAAAGTTTTTTTTTTTAACATCTTCTCTATTTCTTTATTTTTATCCTATAACAACATTTATTTGTTTCTGGTATCTGTTTTGTTTTTTTTTTTAAATTTTAAACTTTTATTTTGAACTGATTTTAAGCTTATAGAAAAGGTTCAAAAATATTCCTACCAGGTGTCCAACCTGCAGGCCGCGGGCCGCATGCGTCTCAGGATGGCTATGAATGTGGCCCAACAAAAACTTGTGAATTTACTTAAAACATTATGAGATATTTTTGTGATTATGTTTCACAGTGTATTTACTGTGTGGCCCAAGGCAACTCTTCCAGTGTGGCCCAGAGACGCCAAAAGGTCGGACACCCCTGTATACCTTTTACCCAGTTTCTCCTAATGTTAACTTCCTACAGGACCATGGTATGGTTAGCAAAACCAGGAACTTAACATTATCTGCATAGTGCTGTTAACTCAGCTACCACACTCACACCAGTTGCACTTTTTACCAGCTGTCCCTTTCCCTTTCCAGGATCTCCCATTTCAGTTACATCTCCTTCCTTTCCTATGGTCCGTCCTTGTCTTTCAGAGCCCTGTGGTAACTTTTCATTCTTTCCTTGGTTCTCATGACCATGACACTTCGAAGTGGTCAGGTGTTTTGTAGAATAACCCCTCAGTTTAGCTTTGTCTAAGGGTTTCTTCTGATGAGAATGAGGTTAGGCATTTCCGGCAAGAACGCCACCAGCAAAGGTTTTAAAATTGCACTGTCAATTTTGGAGAGGTTAGACATAGAGATGATGGTTGAATTTTTTATTAAAAGTCTCAAGAGGAGGTATTCCAGCTGTTCCAAACCTATGGATCAATTACATGTTTTCTTTACTTTCCTCAGCAAATAAAAAAGGAAAGGAAAGAAAAAGCACATACTCTCCTATTCAGGCTGTTGCAGCGTCCTGGAACGGTATCCTCTTGAATCCATCCGGTCCCAGACATTCATAAGACCTCAGTTCACCTGCCACCTGTTCCATAAACCCTGTCCTGACCGCATCAGCCCAAAGTGCTTGCTGCATTCTCTAGTATTTAAAAACATTTCTCTCGTGAAATTTTTGTCTGTAATTATACCCTTCCTGTTTTACATTGTTGCTTAAATGTTTCTGTTGTTGAACAGATGTTTGTCATATTACCCATAGCATCAGCTCTCTGATGGCAGGCTCTCTCTTAACACTTAGCGCAGTACCTTTCTTTGGCAGGTCCACAGTACATGCTTTGTTGAATGACTCAGTTGCTAACCTAGAGGTAAATTAGCTTACAAATAAGCCAAGATACGGTAACTCTTTTATGAAGCTTCATTTTCTTTCAAGTCAATTTAAATAATTTTATTTTATTTTTAAAAAGATTTTATTTATTTATTTTTAGAGAGAGGGGAGGGGAGGAAGAAAGTGAGGGAGAGAAATATCAATGTGTACTTGCCTCTTATGTGTCCCCCACTGGGGACCTGGCCTGTAACTCAGGCATGTGCCCTGACTGGGAATCAAACTGGCGACCCTTTGGTTCGCAGGCCAACACTCAATCCACTGAACCACACCAGCCAGGTGAAATAATTTTATTTTTATATATTATCTATATTCGTGTTTTTTAATCTGAAAGGGCACTATTGAATTTTTACTGGTGACAAATTTTACAGCATTCTTTTCTGTCCTCATTTATAATCTGATATAGGAGATAAAGCAGGAGCTGATCGATGTCTGTAATGTCTGTCTCAAAATTTTTTTTTTTAACCACAGATAATGAAACAACCACCAATTAAATTTGATCCAAAAATATTGCATCTTCCAGCATATTCAGGTAGGATCATAGAGGCTTTATGGAGCACGTAGACACTGTGTAGAGAGAAATTTGATAGAAAATGAATATTTTATTCATAAACAGCTACATTTCTGTTTTCTTGCCAACTGGCTGTTGTCTTGGGAGTGCTTTGTAAATTACAAACACCCTGTAATCCATTTGTGCCAGCCTTTGACCTTACTTGGCTAAGGCTGGGCTGCCCTGTACCCTTGTGGGAGGGAGAGTTCCTGTAAAGCCTGGTGAGTTTTCCTGTTGGTCAGTGGGCCCTTCTGCCCTTCCTCGTATAGAGCCTATTGACTTTCCTACATTTATGGTGCAGTGGTGGGTGTGGAGGGTTGGGGACCACAATGAAGAATGGAGATTCTGCTCAAGGATGCCAGGGCAATTGAGAATGGGGCCAGATGGTTCGCTTTTGTGGGGAGGGGGTGGGAGTGGAGATACGTCAAGGAAGAGTGTTACATTCCCTTTCACCTCATGGAAAGTCTGAGTTAGGGGGAGCATCAGAAAATCTTTTATGCCTTATGTTTTGATGTATTTTGTTGGATAAAGCTGTGAAACTAGATTTGAGAAAATATCATAGCTAGAATAGCATCTACGGTTTGAAATCAAGTCAAAGCAAGTTAAAAAACTACACAAAACATATGAAAATTTAAATAAACCATGCCAAGTAGAACCTCTGTTTATGGAAACGTAGAGGCTTATTATCAAAACTCTGTTCCTTCCCTTTGAGTGATTGTGGGAAGTGGCCATTGCCGTTTATATTGTGTGAGGGTGGAGAGCAGCCGAGCCATGTTAGCTTTGGTAGCGTCTCTTTTCCTAGTTTTTGCCTTTCACTTGCAGAGGGATTTGGAGGGGGGACTCCCAGATGAGTTCAGCTGTCACACTAACCTGGTTCTGCTTGACAGCAATTTCACTGGAGCCTTCTAACAACTGTAAAACGATTGGCTACTCTAATATTTTAAGGCTAGATTGCTTTATTTACACACTCTTGTTTTTTCATAATACAATTTTATTTAATTTCACATTTTATTATATTCTCAGTGGCAGGATAATTCTCCTTTAGGCATTTGCATTTTTTTTTTAAGCATAGTTTTCCATGGGCATAGTTAAAAAAAGTCTCCATAGGGGAAAAAATAAGAAATGAGTATAAAGGGTAAATAAAAAAAGTGTCAGCTTTGGAGTATTTTTGGTTTTGACATTGGGAAGTCACAATTTTTTCTGTACCCGGCTATTGAAATTCCATGTTCCATTTCATTTCTCCTGTAATGTTTTCGGGAGTCCTTTTTCAGGAGACCCACTTTTAATGTTTTCTTCTCTCTTCAGTGGAGAAGTTGGTTTTACTCAAAGACCAGGATTGGAGCGACTTTCTGCAGCAAGTGTGCTCGCAGATCGACTCCCCTGAGAAGACGGCAGGGGCCTCCCGCGTCAAGCTGAACCTCCTCTGCTACTTGTGCGCGGTGGCTTGTCAGAGGGAGGTGGCCACCAGGCTCCTCCACTCTCCCCTGGTGGGTAGTTGAGTTGTGACCACTCCTTTTACGGTCCTTGCAGCATGCCTTCTGCATGTAACATATGTGTATCTGTAGCGATTAAAGCAAGTGTGAAAATATCAATTTGATTTAATTATAATGAAAAAGTGACTTATCAAGATTATAAATTTGTCAAAACTATCTTCTGTTTAATCCTTAGGTCTAAAAGCAGTTGAGTAGACAGGGATTTTGAATTTCTTTTGTTACTGCTTTGGCTTGCATTTTATGTTAACTTGTAACAGTTGTATGACATTTTCCACATCTGAAATCATAAGACAGAGAGGCCCATTCATCAGTGTCTGGAGTGAGCTGCCCATGTGGAATTGAGGTTCCTTGATTGGGTCACCTGGTGAATGCCACGGTTTCTGACGTGACATTGAGGGGAGACATGGAGTCTCTGAGACTGCTCCCCCGGTAATGGTACCTCTTGCACTGGCATGGTTCATCGGTGAGGCTGTGGGCGTTTGGCAGAGCTTTTGAAGTCATCCCCAGAAAGAAGTTACAGTGGTCTGGGGCGTTGCCCATACTGGGGCCTCATTTGACAACTGGCTTGAAAATTTAAGTTACTTGCTTTCAGGATAGTTGTAAGGTTACTTTTGTGGTACTTGGAGTGTGTTTATGGGGTGAGGGGTGGGACACATTTAGGGAATATAATGGTATGAAGAACTGAAAGTAGTGTTTGTAGTTTTTATTTTTTAAAAAAATATGTATTTATTTTTAGAGAGAGGGGAAAGGAAGGAGAAAGAGAGGGAAACATCAATGTGTGGTTGCCTCTTGTGCACCCCCTACTGGAGACGTGATCCTCAACCCAGGCATGTGCCTTGACTTTTAGGTTTGCAGGCTGGCACTCAATCCACTGAGCCACACTAGCCAAGGCTATTTTTATCTTGTTCATATACTCAGTGCTTTTGCATTTTTGTAAATAATCTTGATTCAGCATTCCCATTTCAGTTGTGTACAGGTATGATTTTTTAACTTCGCTATCACTTTGTGGGGTTTCATGAATGAAATTTATGTCTTCATATTTTCTCCTAGTTCCAGTTGTTAATCCAGCATTTGCGAATAGCTCCAAACTGGGATATGTAAGTAACATTTATATTTTAATCATTTACTTTTCATTATGCTATTAAGTAGGTATAGCAAACATTTATCAAAAGCACATAAATAGTTAATAATGAAATATTCTGAAGTAACGATGACTCTGAATCATAGACAATTTCTACAGGCATTGCAACAGTAAATGTGAAACGATTTCAAAATACTCTGTATTCTAATGTTGTGAGCATAATTCTTGGATTATATAAAGCATGTCTGGAAACTTTATTACTCTTACTCTTTTGAATGTTCTTTATCAAGTACTTTACCCTTGACCCTGTGCTTTAGTTTAGTTACGCTTCCCAAGGAGATTTCCCTCGCTTCTGACCCTTCCATTTCTGTAGTGCCTAGCTTCCTTAAGAGGTTATTTAATTTAAAGTCAAATGGGATTATGATCTGTAAGCTCTTGATGGGAAGACACGGACTTGCTTATGGGAACAGCACGCCACGGTGAACGGCACCTTGGACAAAGCGCTAGAAGGCTCTGGGCTCTGGTTGTCAACGTGACTTGGCCCGGTGATGCCCTCTTCCCGAGGCTCAGCCTCCGGGGGAGGCCGTGTGGGACGCTGAAGTCACACAGGGTGCGGGTTCCAACAGACCTGGGTGTGGAGCACCGATCCGCCCGCCCTGGACAAGTTTGCTCTAACTGCTGAGCCTCAGTTTCCTCCTCTGCAAAATAGGGAGAGTAGACCTCCTTCATACATCTTTGGTGATGATAAACTTTGATCAGATGAGTGTATGAAATACCTTGCACAGTGCCTCGTGCATGGGGGTGTGGAGGTTGTAGTCATTATTATCGAGCCTGCTTATCTCGAATACTTGTCAGGAGAAGCCCGCGAGAACGTGAAGGCGAAGGGGTTTTGTGAAACGTGGTAGCGGTAGGACATCAATTATTCTTCCAGGCCAGCAAAACAGGGGAAAGCAATAGTGTTCAGAGGATGCTTTTTTTAAATAATTATTTGTATACATGTTCTAATGTTACTCTCGCAAGGTAAAATCTGGCATTACATAATAGGGTTTTTAGGTAATTTCTGAGCATGTAAAAAGTTGAGATGATTTGTGGCATTCTCATTAAAAAGGAACCATCAAGATCTAACTCTTCGGCTAAAACGTCACTATATCCTTGAATGGGGTGCCCCCTGCTGACTTTTTAAAAATAGACTTTCTTAATCCTTTCCAAGTACTGCTTTACAACTGTTTTTCTTTTCCCTATTTTTTATATTGAAGTTTAATTGTAAAACACTTCATCTGAGGAAAAGGTAGACAAGTCCTCTGTGTAAAGCCTTCTTTTAGTCTCTCCATGAAACCCCGCTCCTTCGGGGGGCCTTCTCTGGCCCCCGCCCTGGCAGCCGGAGAGTCCCCTGCAGGGTCCTTCATTTAGCTGGGCTCGCTGGGGGCGCAGAGGGGTTTCTTTCTTGGCTTTGTTCATACAGAAAAACAAAATAGGATAACGTGATATAATTTTATAGGTTTGTCCCCCTTATAACATGTTAGGTATTTTTAATGCCATTAATTGTTTGCCTAAGATACTTTTTTAAGGTATGCCTTTTTTTTTTTTTTTTTTTTTATGTGCTCTGAATGTCTGACAATTTATTTACACTCCTCTCTATTTTGGGTTAGTAAATATTGTCAGCAATATAATGATGAACATTTTCGTGCTTACAGCTTTGTGCCTGTTTTCTTTGACCTCTTAGGGCAGATTTATACAATTAGAATGAATGGCTAGAAGGCGATATATATTTTTGTGATTTTTGTTAAATTGCTAAAATGCTCTTTAGAAAGTTTGTGTCAACATTATTCCCAATGTGTATAAAAATGCCCTTTGGTTAGAACTCTCAGCAGTGGGTATTTATCAAATTTTGTAACATTTGTCAGTTAACTTTACTGAGGCATAATTTGCTTATATTATAAATTTTAATTTTATCAGTTATGAAGTATACATACTGTGAATTTCACTACTTTAGCCATTTTCAGTGTATGAGGTATATTCATGAAGTATCTTCACAATGTTGGGCAACTATCACCACTGTCTATTTCTAGGATTTCTCCATCATCCCAAACAGAAGCTTTTGCCCATTAAACAGTAACTCCCATTTCCCCCTCCCAGTCCTGCTAACCGTTCTTCTGCTTTCTGTCTCTCAATTTGCCTCTTCTAGGCACCTAATAATGTTAAGTGGGATTTTACAATGTTTGTCCTATTTTGTCTGGCTTATTTCAGTTGGCTTGATATTTTCAAAAGTATTTTATGTCGTAGCATGTATCAGAATTTCATTTCTTTTTAAGGCTGAATAATATTCCATGCATGTAAATGCAACATTTTGTGTATCTTTTCATCTGTTGAATACTTGGGTTGCTTCTACCTTTTGGCTGTTGTGAATAGTGCTGCTATGAACACTGGTTTATAAGTAGCTGTTCAAGTCCTGGCTTTCAGCTCTTTTGGGGACACACCTCGGGGCGGGATTGCTGGATCATATAGGAATCCCGTGTTCAGCTTCTTGAGGAACCACGTTTTCCATAACAGCTACTCCAGTTTACACTTCCACCTGCAAGGCATGAAGGTTGCTGCTTTTTCATTTTCTTCCAATACTTGTTTTCTCTTTGTTTTTTTCTTTGATAGTAACTGTCCTAATGGGTGGGAAGTGATAGATACCTCATGGTTTTTAATTTGCATTTCACCGTGACTAGGAATGTTGAGCATCTAGATTATGGGCCATTTGTATATCTTCTTTGAAGAGCTGTCTTTCCAAGTGCCTTGCCCATTTTTCTAGCTGAGTTGGTTGTTTTAGGATGTTGATTTGCAGTAGTTCTTTGTATGTCCTGGATATAAACCCCTCATTAGATATATGATTTACAAATATTTTCTCTCATTCTGTGGGTTGCCTTTTCACTATGTTGATAGTGTCCTTAGAAACATAAAATTTTAAATTTGTATCTTGTAACTTTTGGCTCAATGTCCTACCAAAAGTTTTCCATGTAAGGCCTAGGACTTCTTTAATCTGTGTGCTGTGATTTGAATGGCTAACTGAAGAAGGACTGAAATCCGTAAGAATTATTTCCGTGTGCTAGAGTTCAGACAATGTGAACACCTTCCTGTGGTTCCTCCCTGCATCTCTTTCCCCCCAGGGGGCTCCTGCATAGTTCTTTTCACAGCCTGGAAAGTAGAGGCCTTCTGGCTGATTATTCCAGAAAACACGCAAGTGTCACAAAATAAGAATGTGTTCTCATCAGCTCACATATTCACCCATTCTTTTTGAAATTAAAAAAAAGATTCTTACCCAAACTAATTTTCTGCATGAAATAAACTTTTTCAAGTCACCGGCAGTGATATTTAATAATTTATTAACTTTGCTTTCTGCTGGATACTGAAACAGAAACGCCTCACTAAGACTAGTATTTACTAGTGTCTATTGAAATAAAACAATATTGGTAAGACTTATGATTGTAAAACTTGATATTAAAATGAATATATACATATAAACATGGGGTGGGGCAAAAAGTAGGTTTACAGTTGTGTGTGAAACAAAGTTTATTCTTATATTCTTACCTATTAATTATTGTACAGTTTTTCATGTGAACAACTGTAGGCCCACTTTCCCCTCACACTGTATACATTTAACACTTCTGATATTATTTACTGCTTATATGTATACAATCCCTGGTCTACTAATAAGTAGAACAGAGACCTTTAACCAAATAGCTCTGTGCTCAGACATAGAAGGGTTAATTACTGTCCTTCTCTTAGCTTAAGGCTTTTTGGAAATGTTGTTTTCCTTTTTATAGTTAAAGCACAACTTGTTCGGTTTTTGTCACTTTTACAAAAGGGGCTGCGGAGGGCATTGCTGTTCAGGTCGCTCCGTGTACACGGCGTTTCTCTGGGCTCGGTACACGGGGGAGTACGCGCTCGCCCCTCCTCATTCCAGTTCTGTCTCTCCAGTACTCAACGCCCCAGTCCGGGGCTGGCTTCCTCGGTCCCCGACTCCTCTTCAAAGACTGTTTCCTCTCTGTTTACAGACGGGCCAAGGTCGCTCGGGTGATTGGTTTACTGGCCTCGCACACGGCTGAACTTCAGGAAAATACACCTGTTATTGAGGTAATTTCTTCTATTACTGAAATGATATGAATGACAGAAAGGATCGTTCTTCCTTTTGTAACTTAGAATGTGCAGCTTTCACTGACCTTCTCAAAGCTCTTTGTGGAATTGTGCCAGCTGTTATAAAATGATAACCGCGACAGACCTTTAGGCTTGAATACAGCTGAACATATAACGTAGATTCCGTTACTAAAGACGGTGCAGCGGAGGCACAGGCTTCTGGGCTCTGCCCGTTGTCGCACGAGTCTTTGGCTAGGCCCGTTCCGCGAGGGACAGGGGTATGTGGGTAGAGCTCATGGAAGGTCTGGAGATGGGTGGCTTGTGGCATAGAGTCTGAGGGGGCGGGGCCGTTGCCATGGCTGCAGCTGAGAGGCTGCCCCCCCCCCCCCGTGGGGTCCCGTGCGGGGGCGGGGCGTGGGGTTCTCCCTGTGACTGGAGATGGTGCACTGCTGCTGTAGGAATCCCTGCGGGCCTGGGCAGAGGACACCTGCAGGAATGGGGGACCTCTGATCCCCCCACCCGACAAGGCCGCCCAGCACGTTTGGCCTGGCAGGCCTTGAACCACACTTGTCCCTGTGCCCTTAGGCCAGTACTTCCCTCTCTGCAGTCTGGGTGCCTCTCAGGTATTTCCCCAACTCCTCTTGCTGTGACTTAATAAGCGCTGTGTTCCTGATGCCGCCACCCTTGAGAGGAGGGGGGAGGTGGGAATTCCTGAGCTCCTTGGAGCCTCTGTTCCTGCACTGGTCCCTTTAGGACGTTTGTGGATGTTTTATTAATTTGAAATGAAACTTGGAAAAAGCCACACTTATTTCACTTAAAAAAAGCACAGTAGTGTATATTTAGCTATCTGGGCAACTGTTCTGCATTAAGCACCCCATTTTGTGAACCAAGGCCTGTTGGGTAATGAGTTTGCAGAGTAATTGGAAACTGTGCCAGATGCTCCTCTGATGCCATTTATTCAGTTGGCTGTGACACTTGAAGCAACCACTAGAGGTCGCTCAAACACTGGAAACAAAGTTTCTCAAGTTTAAAGAATTTATCTTTCAACTTCTGGAAGAAGCAGGCTTAGCAGATATATGGTACTGTATTTCATCTTTTCCCTGTTTTCTTGTTCTGTTCCTGGAGTTTCTGCTGTATGAAATGCAGTTGCACTGCATGGGCGATTAATGCCGTTTAAGATGAACGAGAGCCAAGGCAGCCTCTCTAGAAAAATGCGGTCGGCACCTTGCCCGCGATGTCAGGGGCTTTGAGAGCCCAGGGGGGCCGGCGGGCGAACCCTAGGTGCGGTGCTGAGACCAGGTTTCTGTGAACTTTCAGTTGGGTGTTCACAGGTCATTTTTTAGTAAACTACTAATAATATTTCAAGTGTGAGATGCATCCGATTTCTCCAGTAGGTTTACTATTAGTGGACAACAAAAATTGTGGTTGAAGATCCTATAGACATTTTAAAGGCATAGAACCTCATTTTATTATTCACCTTTGTTTCCCACAGTGCCTAGCAGCAAGGTAACATGTATTTCAGGCACTCAGTCAATGCTGCAAGGTTTAGTAAGTGAGTAAAAAGAGTGGTAGGGAAGTATGTCAGTGTAATTTGTTACAAAGAGGCAGAAGAGATGAGGAAGACTCTGTTTTACTATCCTTATGATATAGTTGAAGTCTCTTTCATCTTATTCTGTCATCAGTGGCTACAGAAAAAAGCAGATCATCATCTCTTGTATGTGTTTATTAGCATTCATTGAATTCTCCACCTTTTCCACAGAAAACTATAGCCTGATTCTTACTTAGGCTTCTCCTCCTGGATAACACTATTTATCAGCCAGTAATCACTGTGGTCTGTGTGTGTAATAATTCTTAAGAGTATTCCTGATATTTTGGTATGTATATGTAGTCTCAAGCATAATAGTGGATATGTATTAGGAAATTGAACATAGAACCCTAAAATTTAGACCTGGAAGAATATTAACAGACACTATAATTTGACCCTTTCGTTACATGTTTTTATTATGGAAAATTTCAACATACATAAAAGTGGAGAGACTGGAATAATGAGATGTCACTCATTTCTAGCGGTTATTAGCACTTTGTCAGTCTTGTTTGTCTTATCTCTTGCCCTCCCCCTTCCCCCTCCTCCCTTTCTCTCCCCTCCTTCTCTCTCTCTCACTGTAGTATTAAAAAAATTCTAGACATATTTTACTCCTAAATACTTTAGTATATGTATCTAACAGAAAAGGATTTTAAAAAATATAACCACAATACCATATCACACCCAACAAAATCATCCTGAATATCGTCCCATATCCAGTCAGTGATCAGATTTTCTTAATGGTCTCATCCATGCCATTTGGTACTTTTTCACTGAGCCAGGATTGAATAAGGTCCTGTATTGCATTTCAGTGTGGCTCTTAAGTCTCTTAATTTCAAACACTTCCCTATTACTTTTTGGTGACATGTATTTATTAAAGACAAATTGTCATTGGTTAGAGCCCAAACTGGAATGTGAGACATTTTATTCTAAACTTTTGGTGTTATTTAACATGGTCTTCTATCACCTGTATTTCCCATGAACTGCTGGTTAGGCACGCAGCCTTGATTAGGTTCAAGTTCAGTTTTGGGGGTGGGTAGGAATTCTCCCTAGTTGGTGCTGTGTATTTCCTGTTGTCTCACAGATGAGACGTATAGTGTCTGGTTGCCTTGCTGCGATAGCTCACTGGCTCCAGCTGTTGTCCGACTTATCATTATGAACTTTTCAATCACTCTTGAGAGTTTTAGCATCCATTGCTGATCATTGCTTATTGATCTTAGGGTTGCAAAAATGATAATTATCTCATTCTACAATTCCTTTCTCATTTCCAACTGGGAGTTTTCCTTATAGAAGAACTTTTCCATATCAACTAATTGGTTATCCTAAAGTACAGTTTCTTTAGCAAAGACAGGGAAAATGATTATTTCCTTTTATAGACCAATTTTTAGAATAATGAGTTGGTGCTTTAGTAATCTCCATAGGTGTTCCATACGATTTTTTGAAAAATTAAGATGTTATGGTTTTATATATATATATTTATATATTCTAGTCTTTGGTAGTCAGTCCTCCGACTTTTTGATGTTTAAGTTTTTCCTGCTCAGCACAGTGGAAGTCCTTTCGAATTTGCTCGTCTCTCCTTTCTATGTGCCTCTGTTACGTGTCTCTGATGACTGGCTTGCTTTCTGTCACCGAGAGTTTACAGACTCATCTGGGGGATAGTCAGCCTTAGTTCTGAAACTGGGTCTATAAGGAACCTTGTTTAAGATTAGTTGGAAATGGTACTTAGAGCTCACAGTCTGGGTGGAGCTCTACTGGGATTGTCATTTGTTTTAGAGCTTTTCAAGGGTAAATATTATTTCTTAAAAAGAAAAATCACAGTTTATTCACACTGTTACTTTTGATTCAAATGTAAGATTAGAGGTTTTACTGTTTTGATTTAACATTATTTTTCTTCTCATAAGCTGAAAATCTTGGCCACCAATGATATTAACATAATTACTTATTTTCTTTAACCTAGTGTTTAAAAATGATACCAATGTTATTACTAACAGTAAAACTAGCAAGTACAGTTTAAGATATTTGTGTGCTTCCTTTTTAAAAAACACTTTGGTCTTTGGGATATAATGCGCTAGATGATATATGCAGTCAGAAGGCAGAGTTTTCAGCAGCTCAGGTAATTCTTCACTTCGTACTCTGTCACCGATATGATACGTAATTTTATAGTTTTTCCATTTGCTTTAGATATTTACAGATTACTCTGTGCTTTTGTTTTGGTTTAAAAATTCTAATGCTTTTTTATTGAAGAGTTACAAATACACAGAAATGCATATAAAATGTAAATGTTGTGGTCAGTGACTTGTCGCCAAGTGAGGAACCCAGGCAGCTGCCGCTGGGTGAAGACACAGACGCAGAACGTTGCCAGCACACCGGGACCCCCGTGCCCTACCCCGGTCACCAGTCTCTCCTCCCTTTGCTCTAAAGGTGACTACTGCCTTAATTTTGCTGTGATTATTTTGCCTGCTTTTGAATTCTGCTTTCAAATTGAGTCACATGACATGCAGGGTCTGGCAGAAGTAATGCCTGCTTGAGTGTGGTTGGTAGGGTGATAATATGGGTGTAATAATTGAGAGTTTTAATTTGAACATGTCCCCTAAAATGCCATTGACATGCTTGAGTGTGATATTATATGTTACAGAATTAATGTTTATGCTTTTGTAATAAAAGATTTTGTAATAAAAAAGGGGCGTTATTTGTACTGGACAATACAAAGAATATTTGTATTCTTTGCTATATAGCTATACTGTTCCGTGTTATGTTTGTGGAATTCATCCTTATAGTCTTAGGTACCCGTGGTTCATTTTCATGAAATGAATAAACCACACCGCTGGTAGTGGACATTTGGGTTGTTATAAATAATTCTTGCACGCACATTTTGATGCATTTATGTGAGCTTTCTCTTGGGTAAACCTAGGAGTTAGAAATGCCAGGTTACAGGGTATGCGCATGTTTAACTTTAGAGAAATATCTAAACTGTGTGCCAAAAAAGTCTAAATTTAAAATCCTTTCATTAATGAAAGAGTATTTTCAGTCCCCTGTATTGTCGTTAATACTTGGTTTTGGTATAAAGTCATGTTAAATAAGTACCTACCAGGTTCTACTTTATTTTCAGTATGAATGGCTGTTGAATTTGGTTATGTGAGAAGCCGTCAGCATCCGTTCATGTAATTGTTCCCCATTGTGTAATATGTAGTGTTTCTCTCGTTGCTTTCAAGGTTTTCTCTTTGGTTTTGATTTTCTGCAGTTTGAGTATGATATATGTAGTTGTAGTCCTCTTTCTATGTATCTTGGTTGAGGGTAAGATTCTTGGAAATGTGAGCTGATGTCCATCATCAATTTTGGAAAAATTTCAGTGATTATCCCATCTTATCCCATTATTTCTTCAGTCTCGTTCTACATTATGTGTATATTGTGTTGTGTG